AGTTCGTTTGATCGTGCAATTATATTCGAGCCTTGTCTTCGAGATTTTAATAACTTGTAGATGTTCAGAGATCATCCAATTTTTTCTTTTTGTTTGTTTTTTTTTTTAATCAAAATTCAAGATTTAATATGAATATAAATATTGAAGAGTTTAAAGACGAATGTTAATGGACAAAAAGAATGGTTATTGACGGAACCATATTCAATATAACTTTGACAAAAAAGCTTTGATCAACGGCAACTATAGAAATTTACAAATCGTACTTCTACACCTTTCGAGACTTACTCGTTTTCTCACAGCAGCTAGAGTTGCTGTAATGTAAGTTGAGAATTAGCTGTATCGACTTCAAGATGGCTATAGGACAATTTAATCCGTCAGGCCAGTGTTTATGGAGATTCGCAGCTATAAAACTTTCTGACTGTAACGAACAGTATAAAGATGTTATATTCAAAATCTCAACATACTACAGAAAGCTACCTTGGCTGCGCAAAAATGATGCCTTTCAAAACGGAAAAGGGGGAAACAGGCTGTGGATCGCCTGGGCGAGAAGATTGTCACCTGTCAGGTACCGTGAAATCCAGATTTGACGCACCTTTGACACTGTTGTCAAGTTTAATGGCAGAAAACGTTTGTCGTCTGTGCGGAATACTCAAGGTCGAGAGAAAAACAGATTTTCATTAAGATGAAGAATTGACAGATTTGCCTTGAGTGGGAAAGACCTAGGTGGTAGGTCAGAATACATTCAAGATACTAGATGTGAGTGCATTGTGATTTACCAGGACGTAGTTTGAAAATTTTAAAACCCTTCCAAAACTAATACTTTGTGATACATTCATGGATGGAAATGTCTTCAAAGTCGTATATTTCCTGCCCCGGTACATGTGGAGCATGAAAACTTCCGTTGTTTTGGCATGGGTGGTATTTTGTCCAATCCCTACCCCCATCTGGAATTGCGACTAGTTCTCTCGCTTCGCGAGTCATGAGGGCGGTCATGAATCTTATTGATTCGGAGGCTTCATATCATCCAGTTATCTAGATGATATTTTATTATTAGTTTTCCGGCTACTGGGTATGGTACCAATACAAAATTAAACTGTTAAGGATCTTTCTTGTCTGAGCCATATTAAAAAGCAAAAAGCGTTGTGAATAGCTCAATTTTATCAATGAGTTTTACAAGTTTTGCCTAGAAACACCTTATGAAAGATGATATGCGTTATAGCGATTTACGCAATAAATAGTCTATTTCATCATCTGCAATCTGAAAAATTTATTCCATTAGAGTGTGTTTTTGCCTCATAAGCTTATTAAAATGTATGGGTCTACATTGGAATTGAGTATACGCTACACTGAAAAACTTGGAAGAATTAAAAAAAAAAGTCAAGATGATCATTAATTATGGAAATTTTGAATGATCTCTTGTTCTCCTCAGCCAGATCTTCCTTAGTAGCTCTTAATTGAATCGATCAGTCTAGAACAAATATTCTGTCAGACGCAGTCTTCTTAGGTTGGAAATTTACCTCTGCGTTAAAAGATCAAGTCGAAACATCTGGCCAGTATGAGAAAGGCACAACAATATAAATTCCTCAATGTTTTGATCATTCACCTAGCTTTTAGGTGTTTTTTCGTGACCTATGATCCTGCGAGTGTTTGCTCAAATTTAATAACATCGCAGGCATTCCCTACGTTAACGGGTTGGAAGGTACTAGTTCGAGTTCCTCGAACTAGTCGTAATTTTCCTAGGCAGAAATTTGACGGAGGAGAACCGTTTTCGATCGTTGGGGCCAATTCATCACGCTAGATGGATGTCCAAAGGGATTTATTCGCTCAAAATTTTCTTATTTAGAGACCAGTTTCATCTGAGGTCTGAAGGAAAATCAAGTTTGCGAAATACTTGTATTTTCATCATTTTCCTGTATCAGAAGGCGTGGTTCACAGCTCCAAATGCAGCCACAGCACCGAATAACGATTTTATTTTGCTAAAACTGCTGGTAGCAAATATTCAAGATTCAAATAATATTTTGTCTCAAGTGTGCAGAGCTGTATTTGATAAGTTTGTGACGCACCTTTGGTACTCATCGGAAAAATTGATTGCACTGACTTTTTTCGATGAGAATATAAGTTTAGATTGCAAGAGGCATGTCCTTCAATTGAAGTTATGAGTTCTTATAAATTTGTTCAACCTTTTAATGTGAAAAATTAATCATTGCTGATCATGTGGTTCACCAACAAAAAGTTACACTGAGACGAGGTTATCCTGATAGGATTCTGATAGTAATACAGAGGTTTTGACTACCTCTATGATCACATACCTGTTTATCCGCCCCTCAGGACTTTCCCTTTCAGTTCAGGGATTTGAAATTCTGGAGGAATTACGGATTGGTAAGGGCCAGAATTGAAGAGGCTTTTATGACTCTTCAGTCTCTCTAGAATAAAACTATTAGAACAGTATAATTTCCATTGGGAAAGAAATGCTCAAGAATGGCTGCAGCGATTTTTGCCATTACATCTTGCTCTCTTGAAGAGAATCATTGGGACTATTGAGGAAATGCCTCCGGTTGGACCTGTTGTTTAACCTGAGGCATGCAAGGTTTTTGAACCGTTTGCTTTAACTCTACGTCTCAAAACAAGCTCCTTTGAATCCAATGAATTTAGATTCTCCTGTAAAGGTGGATAAATCTCCAAACCTTGACACAATTTTGAGGATTTATTTTAATCTTCTCAAACTTCCCGAAAAATGTGAAGCCATACAAAAATTAAACTGGAGCTGTAGCCTCAAGGGCACTAAAAATTCATTATTTTTCTCGAACCACACAACTTCTGGAAGAGGACTAGATTGTCTAGTTTCTCTTTCTAGAGCAGACTTCGGGGAGTTGCCCCCAATGCTACGAGAGCAAAACCTGCGTCTTTTGAGATTGACTAAAAATTCTTTATCTCTATGGATCAATGGTTCGGTGGAGATAAAAGCAATCTCTAAATTCAGATTTGGTGCATATTTCCATAAATCTGTGTAATTTGTGCATCAACAAATTCGAGACCAGCCAGAAACTCCAACGAGCTTCCAGATCACTCTGAAAAGAGATCATGGCATCATGAGGCTTCAATGACCCAGGAACTCCTATATTCCTGAATCGAGTTCAGGTGGAATATTATTTTGCCGGTTTGAGGCCTTGAATGATGCGTCAGATGCAGATGCAAGAATTGTATTTGTAATTGAAAGCTTAGAGCCTTATTTTAATGCGTCAGGCGCAGATGTACCTATCATAATAGTAGTAGAAGACTTGGAGTCTTGGATCAATGCGTCAAGTGCAGATTTAACTATTGAAATAGTAGAACAAGGCTTGGAGCCTTGGATCCATGTGTCAAGCGCAGATTTAACTATTGAAATAGTAGCACAAGGCTTGGAATCTTGGGTCAATGCGTCAAGCGCAGATTCAACTATTGAAATAGTGGAACAAGGCTTGGAGCCTAAGGTGAGTGCGTCAGGCGCAGATGTGTCTAGCACATCAGGATGTGAGCTGCTGCTCGCACTGTTCTGGATGTCAGGAATGAAGATCCATCTGACATATTTATAACAATCTCATTTTTAATTTCCTTGTTCTCGATTTTGTCTCTAGGACCAGGAATACCAGGTAAAATGAGGTTAGGCTGAGTTATTCGACAAGGAATAAACTCGACCTAAAAAAGCCTTCAACGTTGAATGGTTCAGTTTCTAGGATCTGACCCGAGCGTCTAAAAAGGCTGAGAGACATGTAACATCGTTTACCTTTATTTCTAATCGATTATTTATCCAAGGAAAAGTCGATAAGCCAATGCACGTAATATTTGCCATTTCACTATAGATTTCTAGATATTCCACACAATTTATGTGTTTCCTCTTCTTACAATCATCCATGACTTTGGAAAAACTGTGTAAAAACGGAGAAAAATAGATTATGACAATAAAACAAACTGGAAACTCTGAAAAGCGTGCGTTCCACACGCGCACACACGAAAACAATGAACTAGCTTTCCCAAACCCGTCCAATTTTTTCTACACTATTGCTTAACTTTAAACTAATGATAAGATGGCGAGCTCTCAACGCCGAGGTGCCACAGCCAACTTTTTCTATGGTCGCTGAAGGCGTGTGGCTCCATCTAGCCGCAGGCGGACTACTACAAGTTATTAAAATCTCGAAGACGAGGCTGGAATATAATAAAAGGGTAATAAAAGGCTTAATTCCAACCGAGGAAAGGTCTCGTCGGTTGGGTTGACCTTCTCAATTTCAGGTATATGACGCTCATAATGGGCATGGATAAACTTAGCAAGTGCAGCTGAATTTTTTTTTTTTTTCAATTTTTTGTCAGGCGATAGTGAGATAATCAGACAAGTACTCATTGAAATTTAGAGTAAATTCGTTTATTCTGTTAAGCGCTGAATCGCTCTGAAAACGCTCGATTTAGTACGAAAATCGTAATTTTAATTCAATAATGAATGGATTTAAAAAAAAAATATCCATTTTATTCTAAACCTCTTCCAGTAAGGGTTCTAGAAGATACGAGTGATAATGTCAATAATTATCGGATATAAAATAGAATCTTAAGCTTTTCTTTTTTTTCTAGATACAATCCCATAAGAATTTCAAATCATGGTTGCTGATGGTAGCAATGTGATAAAAAATCTGAAAAAGTTCACATCATTTCTCCATAAGTTCTCCCATCATTTTTTCGAATGGAGAAAATAAAATTCGCTACTTTTTATAGAATGAGCCACCCTAATTTGCACCTCCGTATATGTCGTCGACATATCGTCTCTTGATAAATGTCGGTAAGGCCAATGGGAATCGATGACCTTCGTCGTTGGCCAACTGCTTCAGCACCCGTAACGATAGCCAGAGAGCACATCTGGTACCGTAGTCGTCCTTTCAGAGAATTCGTTGATAGTCCCAGTCATCTTCATGCACCCGGATCTGGCGGAACATCTTCACAATGTCCGTGCCGAAAATAAATCAATGCCGGCGTAGTCAGATGAGAACGTCGGAGCTGTTGACTTGCAATTTGGGTCCCGGATGGAGGATGTCATTCAATGACACCCCCGTTGAGCTTCGATGCGAGGCGTCAAACACCACACTCAACTTCGTGATCGTCCTGTCTGGCTTCAGCACTGCATGATGAGGTAAATCATATGTCCGGCCCGGCTCCGATGTTGATGATGCTCGTTGCATATGGTTCAGGGCCTCATATTCCTCGATGAATTTGTAGCGTGTATGAGTGTCCGGATCCGATGACAGTCGTCGTATGACCTTCTGCAGCCGTTTCTTGGCCAATGATGCGGTATCCCGCCTGCCCGGAAGGCTGCTAGCGATGATTTAAACCGGAGACGCACTATGTATCATTCTATCGAATCTCGTCGATGAGACTCGATAAAGTGTTGTTCATACTCCGCTTCAGCTTTCTTCAAGACTGACGATGATGACGTATCCGGTAATTCCTCCTGAGTCCAAAATTTCTTCACGAGTTCTAAGAGTTCTTGGTTCGTCGTTTGCTTCGTTATTTTCAATGATGATTTTGGAGCACAGCCGGTGTCGCAGACTGGCCCCAAAATAGTCCAGCCGAAGATGGTTTGCTGAGCTATTAGATTCGTTTCCTTGAACCTGGTGATTCTCTTGCCGATAATTCTCCCGTAGAAGTCAGCTCCAATGATGATGTCGATGGCTCCAGGTTGTAAGAATTGAGGATCTGCCACTTGAAGTTCTGTTAGTTGATGAGGAATCGTCGATTCGCATGTGTATGGCGCTATGTTCGCCGTCAGCTTGCTCAGGATGTGGGCGTTAATGTTGATTTGAGCAGCGGGTTCGTGCCTTGGTTGCAAGGCGAGAGTCTCTACACCACGCGTGTTCCCCGATGAGGTTTCTCCGATGCCGAAGATGAAAAGTGATAATGACCTCCGCTCCAGATGAAGTTGATTGACCAAGCGTTCAGAGACTAATGGTATCTCTGAGCCCTGGTCGATGAGGATCCGTGCTGGCCTTGAATTTCCATCATGATTGAGGGCGAAGACACTCGCCATGGGTAACATTACCAGTTGAGTTATTTCCTCTTGAGTTCCATGAATTTCCAAAACGTTGATAGTGTCCACCGGATTCACCTGGTACGGTTCTGATTGATGATTGACCTGGTACTTTTCTGATTGACGATGATCTCCAAAGTACATGGGCTTTGAATGAGGTTGATAGCCCATCTGGTACTCTTCTGATTGCCCAGGATCTCCAAGCTGATTGTGAGAGGTCGTTGACCTCTTCCTCTAGATGAAAGTCCTTACAGATGATTTAATCTGTAATGCTGTGTCTTGGCGCGATGATGGTCCAGATAACCTGCTGACAGGCTCCCGGTTGATGGTTGTCTTTTGCGTGATGATGGTCCCGTTCTCGCTTGTCAATAGTCTCAGCAGTTGAGTTTAATTCAAAATATTGTAATAATAATTTGCAACTTGAACACTTCATTTCTGGGGAGAGGGAATAGCTCAGTAAGTAAGATTGCTGCTCATCAAGTAAGATTCCTCGGTTCGCAATTGCACCAACTCGATTGCCCCACGCTGTCTTAAGATGAAGTCGATACTCTCCGTAACGAATAATTAGTTCTCCTGCCAGAGAAGCTGATAGGAGCCCGGGGCAAGCCCAAAATGCTCCCACTCTCGCGAATAATCACCTCGCACCAATAATTACGATTTATATGTGCACACTCACGCTAAATACTCGTCTTGGCTCCCTATCCCGTCGTTTGGTGTATTTCGTCACATGCTTGCCTGCTGAATTTCGCTTCGAGAATTAGCCTGGGTTATCGCCTGCTTATTTCGCCTGGTTTGCGCACTAAGAATCGCCGAAAATGTCGCCTGAAGTATTCGTCCGGAAAGCCCTTTTCTCCCAAATCCCCACCGAGGTCCACACATTTAATTTCTGACGAATAAATAGACCCACACAATTTTTAGAAATTAAACGATCTACAACGTCTGACGGTAGAGATGGAAGTGATGAGAAAAGCGGAAATGATTATTGCCGTCTCGATCACATGTATCTTGCTCCATTTCTCTTAGGCTTTGACATTGACCCTGAATTCAAATGATTAGCCAATCCCGGCCTCATTTACATATTTTGCCGATCACGTGCTGCGGGGCGCCGCCGTCTATCAGGTGATAGCCATCTCAGGTGTACCACTTTGATGTCAGGTGGTATATGACGTCTTTCCGGAGATGTTTGTCGCCTCATGGATGAGTTTCGGGTATTGTGCGGGTACTAGATTAGGTGGCGTTGGATTTCCGGATGACTCCACCGTTGACTGTCCTGCTGTGATTGGCGCGTTGTGGATGTGTGTGCAATGCAGTCCCTGACATGTCCTGCAAAGCCGGTCACTATTGCACTTGTGCGCTCGACGGGAGCCCATACAGTTGTAGCACAGGCTGTTGCTCTCCAGGAACTGCTTTCTTTCATGCGGCCTCCAGACGACGAACTTCGGGTATTCAGCCTCGATCCAATGAGGTCCCCCGCAGGCAATGCAATTCCTTTTAGCTGACGGGGGCTCCGTTAATTTGCTGGACGGGGGTGCTCATGATTTCCCCGATGATGTCCCTGTTGACACCTGGTATACCTACACCGTCGGCTTCGGCTTGGGTACTCTCTTCGTTGGGGTTCCGTTGTGCTCCTCCTGTTCCACGTTCTGCAAGGCGCATGCTCTAGCCTTGAGAAACTCCAGGAAGGCCTTCAACTCCGGAGGTTGTGTTTTATCCCCGAGTTTCAACTCTCAGGCCTCCTTGGTGTCTGCGTCGATGATTCTCCTCATGATGTAGGCCACGATGATGTTCCAGTGTTCGGTGAGAGCCCCCAGTGACTTCAATACCTCCAGGGCTTCCGTTGTGGTTTTGACGATGGCCAACAACCCTGCAGCTGACTTCTCCTTGAGCTGCTCCATGTTGAGGATCCGATTCAGGTGAGACGCCATTATGAGCCTCGGATTCTCATACCGTGCGATGAGCTTCGTCCAGGCGATGGGGTATTTACTTGCCTCAACTCCGATGTTCTTGATAAGCGCCTCCGCCTGGCCCTTCAGGGGGGCCTTCAGCCTCGCCATCTTCTCCAATTTCGTCATTTTCGGGTTCTCGTGGACGAGTGATACGAAGATGTGGTAGAAAGCCTTCCATTCCGAGTACTTTCCAGCGAACTCTGGGATGTCGATTCTCCGAAGAGTCCTCGATGATGATGCTCCTGCTGATCTCATTGCTTTGTCCGAATGTGCGCCATGATCCGCCCAAGGTCTTTCATGGCCTTGGAGAACGCATTGAGAGCTCGCTGATAGACGTCCTCCACGAAGTAGGGATGCAAAGTACGAGGACGTCTTAGGTTACCCTTTCCATCAGTCCCTGATGGTACGAGGAGAAGTTCGTCCACTGAGTTTCCACGATGCATTGGTGGCCTCGACGTTATCTGCGGCCAGGCTGGCGATCTCCTCCGTGATGAGTTTCCCGGTGATGTTCTTCAAGTTCATCAGTCGGTTCAACTGTAGCCTGACCTTTAGCTCAAAACTGCTCGGCTACGGAGTAACTACCCTCTTTATTGGTTGGGGCTCCTCCGAGCGGTTGACATTGTCTACCATGTTGATGATTAAATCCTTGATAAATTCCTCCGTTGCATCCGCCTCCTCTCCTTCGTCAGCCCAGCATGATGATGAATCTGCTGTAGTGACAGATATGAGTGTGTTACTCTTACCTGTCGTTGAGTTATCGACCGTGGGATTAACGACTGCCGTGTGGTTCCGCCGATAAGTTGCCGCTGCTAGATGTGTTGAGTGGCCGAGTGGGTAAGAGGCACAGCGCTCACGCTACGACTGCGAATGGATAGAGATGGATTACTCCGATGATCGAAGTGCTACGGTGAGTGGCGGGATGACGTCACGACGTTCCTCGTGTTAATTGTCCTCAGCCACCGATGAAAACACAGGCAATGGAATTTATTGCCTCTGTAGTCCCGTAGATTGTCCGACCTCTGTGTGGTTTTCCTCGGTGAGTTCGTGTGAACCCCAAATGCGTCAAGCCCACGGCGTCGGTTTTCAATCGCGACGATTTTCCACTGCCCTGTCTTTTGTTCACGATAATTATCCACTGCACTTTTCACTCCCGAATCCGGCACGAAGGACCAATGTTCAAAATCTAGTTCAATTCTGAAGATAGGGAGGCCGGGAGGAAAATTGAAGCGGGATGATTTGCCGGAGAATAAATTAAGAAGACTTACGTTGATTGTCACTATATTTAAACGATAAATGGCACTGAAAATTACACTCAATAAGATCACCAATAAATATTTGATTTACCGGAGTGGACTGTACAAACACAAATATAACGATAAATCCCCGATGATTTACGATGATCGTTCGATAATTTAACCGATGAGATTCCTGATAATTGCACCGATATACGCCCGGATGAATTGCTATGAGCCTTTCCCGATGAGATTCGATGAGGTACGTGACCATCTCGGCACGCACAAACGTCTTCGTGTGTACTCGCCAATGGTCGAGGATTACTGATGGAGACGAGGGACAATCTAACCCAAATTTAGGCCAGATTTTAAATAGTATCTATATATGTATATATATATGTGTGTATGTATGTATATGACCGATTCAGTTTTGTCACCATTAAAGAAAAAATATTTGTCCGAATGGATTGAATCTGAGCTAGAAATATTCGTTTTCATGTCATATAGACCGAGTTCGAAGATGGTACGGATGCCACTTTTAGTTTTTAAATTATTCCAAAATTTTCAAAAGTTTTCAAAATTGTCATTTTATGGGGGTCTCTTGAAGTTTATGGGAGTCCTGTAGGGGTCATATGGGAGTCTTATGGGGGTCTTACGAGGTTATAATCGAGTTTTATAGAGGTTATGTTGGGGTTATATGGTGATCCTATGGGTATCTTCTGAAGTTTCTATGGGCGTCCTATGGGAATTTTATGAGAGTCTATGTTTTTCGTCCAATGAATAAGGCCAATCTTCCTCTTTACGCTAATCTCCAAGGTTACTTTGTACGAACCGAAAAAAGATTGTGACAAAAATAACTTTTTCCTAGAAGAACAATGAATTATATTTGACACAAGCAAATCATGTGCAAAATAACCATTTGGAGGCATATTGGTAATTTATTAGCAAAAATGACTATACTGTATGCAATACAACCACTTGTTTTCATTCTCACTTGTTTTCATGTTATTGAACTTTCGTTTCCAGATTCGTTTCCCGCAATAACGTTATTCGACTTTCGTTTCCAGTTTCGTTTCCGGCAATAACGTTGTTCGACTTTCGTTTCCAGTTTTGTTTCTGGCGGTAACGTTATTCGACTTTCGTTCCCAGTTTCGTTTCCGGCAATAACGTTATTCGACTTTCATTCCCAGCTTCGTTTCCCGCAATAACGTTATTATTTCGCTTCGATTCCGAGGTCGGAAACGAAACGAAAACGGAAACGCGTTTCCAGTCCCTGGTTATTAGTCTTTTTTTCTACCAATTCCATTAGTAATAAGCGTCTGAATGAATCAGTAACTCCGATTTCCACAATGAGAGTTGGTACTTCCTATTCAACTTCTCCACTTTATCTGATGGATATTATTTTTAACAAACTAATGAATGTCTCATTTTTATTCTTTTTTTTTTCCATTTATTTACTTTTTAATATTCTCACTTTTTTGGAATGTTTTCTTCAATAGTATCAATCATAAAGGGGAGTTGAGATTGATTACCATTGCAAAAATAATTATTCTTTTATTTTCAATCCTATTCCGCGGACGCGTCACGCTTTTTTGTATTTCATTTTATTATTTTTTCCGTCACAAAATCTTTAATAAACATTCAGTCATTATGAAACCGACTCATATTTAACAATATGATATAAAATAGAAATGAGCATAATTTAATGTTGAATGCAACTTTGCTTGTCTTTTTGTTGAGATTTATAAAAAATTTCCGAAAAATCTGCAGACACAGACATACATACACACATTTTCTAGAAGAAACTAGAAGATGGTAAAAATGACCGATTACAAGACTTCCATTCGAAAGCAAAAACTCATGTTGCAGCATCGAGGGAGCAACCGATTATGTTGGCTCCTGCACCGTTTAACGCGGATCAATTTCTCCGACCGCAAGGCGCAAGTCCCAGTGTTCTGGGACCGATAATTTTTAATTATGAAATGAATGCTCACAATTTGAACGCAGATTCCCCGCAGTATTATCGGTTGATTAGGGTGGGGGTAGGAGAGAATTTCAAGGTTCCTCGGAGTGATGTTTTACCCCGAGGAGACACTCTCCGCTGGGGCTTACCAGCGAGAAGTCGCACTGCGCAAATAATGTTTTTTCCGCTCTTCAAACTTCAGTAAATATTGAAGCTCGAAATATTGTTATTGGCACTCTAAATGAAAATCGCCCAAAGGGTCGATATTGAAAATTACACTTTGGAAAAATGTCTAGAAAGAGCAACTGAGGAAAAACCCGAAGTGCAAGTGGTTTCATCAACCACATTAAGGGTGTGACCTCAAGCATTTCGGGAGGGACAACTCGGAACCAATGGTGCGCGACCTTGGGTCAGAGTTGCCCTCTCCAGAGTCAGTAGTCCCAATGTTTCAGGGTTACTCCATCCCTTCCACATTGAGATACTCAAAATTTTCGTTGGGGTGGGCGGACTTTTCCAACCCCAACTAACCAATAAGATTTGTTTCAGGAGTCCCAATTTCTCCCTCCACAATCTCTAATTTGATTATTTTAATTAAATTATAGTGACTTAATATATACTAATGATAGTAACTAATAATTATTAATATTCTACTTTGGGTGTCGTCTCTGTTGATATAAAAAATGATTCAAACGTTTGAATTATTTGAATTCAATTATTTAATTAGTCAGCAGGTCATTCAAGATTTTCCGATTTGAAAATCTTGACATGATCGCTTATTTGAATTTAATTGATCTTGATTTTCTATCACGTGTAATTGAATGGATTGAGATTTTTATTACATTTAAGGTTTATTTAAATTTAATCATTAATTTTTCTGTTTTAAACATTCAAAACTCTATGAATTGGGAATTTCACCATAATTCTTTATTCAATTTATTGGTAATTTTTAATTGAAAACATTTTTGTTGAAAGAATTATTTAAAGTTGAAAATATTATTCCATTTTTGTTTATCAGTTCAAATTCCAGGCGAGGGTGCACACAGTTGCCCTCGACCGTTGGAATTTCCTGTTTATTTCTCTTTTCCGCCGAGTGGATACATAGGGCGTAGGCGCATGAGAAAAATCTATTGTTCAACGGAAAATTCCGTGGATTGTGGGGGGTCAGAAACAAACCTTCGACCTTTAGTCGGCGACATCCAGCCGCCTGCAAGTCATAAAAATGAACAAAATGTAGCCAAAGACAAACACTTGCAGAGTGTTTGGCGGCTTATCATTTGAAACTTATTTTTTCTGTTTACGAATTTTTCCGGAAATTTACTTGAAAATTGTGTACTGTAGATAAGTTATTTTGTACAGCTGCACTTTTGGACCATGAGAAAAATAAAGTTCGCGAGAAAAATGTTGAAATAAGAGAAAACATCTGTTTGCTTGCAGTTGTTATCAATTTAGTTGAAAAATTAGATAAAATGTATTTTTCGACGGACGTCACACTTGGAAGTATAACCATCTAGAAATTGTTCTAGAGAAGTTATTTTTTTTAACAAATTATTTTATGTGAATAAAAAAAAATGTAGCGAAGCTACTTATTTATCGTTCGAATTATTTCACTATATTGTATTCACACCGGCTTAGCAGCCGAATACCTGACTACGTCACCTCGTAACGATTCGTCATATTTCGGGCACCCTCGATCGGATGATCTAATTGCCTATATCGTCGCGAGAGACAGATTCGTCATAGCTCTCAAGGTGTAAACATCGACACATTCGCTGTGAATAAATTCCATTCGATTTCTACCATTATAACGCATGTTATAATTTCATCAACCCGTCCAACATTCCCGAGTATCCCACAAGTGGTGACCCCGACGTGATCCTTTTAACGTGATCAATAAAATCATCGTTTTAACGTGTTCAGAGTGAAATAGTTGCCGTTAAAATTAAAGTAATTTTCGATCGCGTGGTTTTCGTGGATCATTCGAGAAGCGTTGGATTTTTCGACACGTGCTCGGTAGCGTTATATCGTTCCGCGCGCTTGTGTTACCGCGTGTGATATTTTGT